TAGTCTTTCTAGACTTTAAGAAGGCCTTTTGACACTGTCTCTCACCCCATTCTCATTAATAAATTAAGCGACTGCGGCATTGATGCTTACACAGTTGGATGGGTAAAAAACTGGCTGATGGGGTGCACCCAGAGAGTAGTGGTGGATGGGTCATACTCAACCTGGAGAGATGTGAGCAGTGGGGTACCCCAGAGCTCAGTCCTCAGGCCTGCACTGTATAACATCTTCATTAGCGACTTGGATGATGGGGTGGAAAGCACATTGTCCAAGTTTGCTGATGACACTAAGATATGGGGCAAGGTGGACACACTTGAAGGGAGAGAGAGGCTGCAACTAGATTTAGACAGACTACAGAAGTGGGAAGATGAGACTAGGATGGGGTTAAACCTAGACAAATGCAGGGTGCTGCACCTTGGGAGAAGGGATCCACAGCATACATACAGGCTGGGGGCTTCCCCTCTTGATAGCACAGAGTCGGAAAGGGATCTTGGAGTCATTATTGACTCCAAGATGAACATGAGCTGCCAATGCCAGACCGCAGCCAGCAAGGCCAGCCATACCTTGTCATGCATCCAAGGTGCATCTCAAGCTGGTCCAGAGAGGTGATACTCCCCCTCTATGCAACATTGGTCAGGCTGCAATTGGAGTACTGTGTCCAGTACTGGGCGCCACACGTTAAAAAGGATGTGGCCAGCCTCTGGAGAGTTCAGAGGAGGGCCACTCACTTGGTGAGAGGGCAGCAGGGCTGGCCCTACGAGGAGAGACTGAAGGACCTGAACCTGTTTCGCCTCGGGAAGAGGAGGCTGAGGGGAGAACTGGTGGCTGCCTACAAGCTCATCAGGGAAGATCATCAGTAAATAGGAAGAGCCCTATTCTCCCCAGCACCACCTGGGGTGACGAGGAACAATGGTAATAAGCTGATGGAGAATAGGTTTAGGTTAGAGATCAGGAGGCAATATTTTACAGTTAGGGTGGCCAGAATCTGGAACCAACTTCCTAGGGAAGTAGTCCTCGCCCCAACTTGGGTAAATTCAAAAAGAGGTTAGATGATCACCTGTCTGAGGTCTTGTGAGCATTCATTCCTGCCTGTGGCAGGGGGTCAGGCTAGATGATCTGTTCAGGTCTCTCCTGACTTTAGCTACTATGAAACTATGAAACTATGAGATTTGGACCGGTGACAGTAACTGCAACTCTCCTTAGCTAATACGGCTTATAAAGAATAAAAATGCATCTTACTATTAATTCCATTTACTATTAACTACACTTTGGGTGCATCTACATAAGCTGCTACTCTGCAGTAGTAGAGCATTTAGTTGTTACTGCACATTTATGTATTACTTGTCTTAGCAATTACTACATAAATGTGCAGTAATTAGAGTTACCATTCAGTAGCGCAGGTGAATGACTTCTAAGTTATGCTACTGAACAGTAGCCTAATAATATTGCACAATAGTGTATCAGCACTCTTGGTGCTGTGAGGCACTACTCAACAATATTATTAGGCTACTGCACAGTCAATGTCTCATATACATGCGGCCTTTATCATACAAAAGGCCCCTAAAATATTTACAATGATGTTCTGTGTGTTGATTAGTTGCATTCAAAACCACAAAAAGGCAATGTTCTGATATTTCCTATTCTCAGGAAGCAACTTCCTGGCTGGGCAGTAGCCCTGGCCCCAGCCCCAGCCCTGTCCAACTTGCTCCCTCCCTATGGGGGCCTCAATTTCCCCCCCCCCCCTTACATGCAGGAGCTCTCTCCAGGCTGCAAGAGGCCGTGTATATACATGTACATGGCGCCCCCTGCTTGACCACCCTCCTCCTGCTCCCTCCCAGTCTCTGCAGGCTGCAACTCTGCCGACCTGCAGAGAGCTCTTTGGAAAACTGCAAAATCTCTGCTAAAATGAGAAATCTGTGCTTTGCTCTGGTAAAGGGGGATATTGATGTTTTTCTCCAGTTTTCTGTGGGAAACAGAAGATCTGGATCCCTGATAATAAAGTAAATTTTAAATACCTATACATTCTGGCATTTGATTTTGGGTTTATCATGGAAAATCAGTTTCCCTTGCCCCCTTTGCTCCCTGGGACATGGATCCAGCTGTGGCTGTCCCCACTACTACTTTGTGGCACTAAGCGGCCTTGATATGCTTGTGATTTACCCATGCCGTTGCCTCTTACTCCCAAGCCACAGCCCCCTGGCCCTGCTGGTGCCCCTCCCTCCCCACCTCCAGCCCCCCTTACCTCCAGCCCTACTGGTGCCCCTCACTCCCAACCTGTAGCCCCCCACCCATGCCCTGCAGCTCTCTGTTCATCCCAGCCCTGCCAAAAGGGGCCCCTCAGCTGCCAGGGCTATGGGACCAGGGACCCACGTCTGCAGCTCCGTGCCCCGTGCCCCAGCAGTGCCCGAGCCCTGGCTGCCATCTGTGGGAGGCAGCAGCTGTTGGCTGGCTCCCCCTCCCCCACCAGTGGCATGGCTGGAGGGGAGCCCGTGGAATGAGGTGGTTGCAGGCAGGCAGCTGCAGGCTCAGGGATCTCTGCCCTGCTGCCCTCTCCACAGGAGCCTCTGCAGCCCAGCAGGCAGGACCCAGTGCAGCAGGGCAGAGTGGGGTGGGGAACTTTGGTGCCACTGCTGAGAGCCCTGAACCACATAATGAGGCACTCCCTGCCCACCTGGCCGCAGCAGGGGGCACAACTCTCTGCCACCATGTCTGTTGTTGCTGGGCAGGCAGGGATGCCTTTCCATGACAATACAGAATTCCCAGCAGCAGCATCAAGCCTCCCTGCCCCATTCTGCCCTGCTCCAGTGGGTCCTGCCTGCTGGGCCATGGAGGCCCTCAGGGGGAGGGCAGCAGGGCAGGAAACCCTGAACCCATAGTGGCCAGCCCACATCCATCCCTGTCCCATGCGCAAATCTGGGGGGCACATGCCCCCATTTCCTCCCCCAGGAATTCACACAGTGGCGGGGAGCCCTTCTGTCACTCTCTGGATGACTCATCCATGGCTGTGTCCCACTCTGCAGCTGAGCCCTGCGGCTGCATATTCCTGCCCTGGCCCCGGACCCCAAGCTCCATGCACTGCTCCATCTGGGCAATACTCCCAACCCCAGCCCCAGCCCTGACCAAGTCCCGCCTGCCCTCACTAGGGGGCCTCAATCCTCCCTCTCCCCCACAACTTACCTGCAGGAGCTGCTCTCCACACTGCCTGGCTGCCACATGCATGTGTCTGCATATATAGGCACATGGTGCCCTCTGCCTGATTGCCCTCCTCCCAACCCCTTGCAGGCTGGAACTCTGCCAGCCTACAAGGATAAACCCAGCATTTCCCATGCTTTTTTACTTTTTTCCCTTAAAATGAGAAAATCCGTGCTTTTCTGCAGCGAACTCGGAAAACCCAGAAAACTTGGATCCTTGCTGATGAGGCTTTCCTTTTTGCAGGCTTCCTTAAATTCCACTTTTCTCTTCTGGTTCCTCATCCCTGATGATCACTTTTCAAACCCTTCTAACAAGAAGATCTGGAAAGTATTTTATCTTAATCTTCCTCCCTAGTCCTTCTTTTCTTGTCCTTCTCAACCTTTCGTGGGTCAGTTCATTTCAGATCTGCTCTTCCTAAACTACTGAATTGAGTTCAGTTGAACTATTCAATTGAACCAAGGCAATGTTCCTTTCCTCCAGCCAGCTGGGTTCTTAACCATATGCTTTTGATCACATGGCCATCGTGATCCCTCTCACCACCCAGGATATTGGCTAAGTCTGGCATAGGTGAAGATAAATTCTACCCCACCCCTTTCAGGGCCATTTTGGACATTCACTGGTCCAATACACTAGTCCATGGCACATTATATTGCCAGAACCAGAGTAGTCCTCTAAATGGAACAGAGTAAATAATCCATAATTTAAAGAGTTGACAGATGAAGTTTGTGAACAGGACACACAACTATGAATCAACTCCCTCCCCTGCCTCCAATCACTTGGTTATTCTTCAGATTATATGTGAAAACAATTATAGTCTATTGATTACTTATTATTTACTCTCTATGGTCATTTACAGTTTAAAATTATTTGTTATAAGCTTGATCATAAAACTTCCATGGTATTTCATTTCATGAGAATACAGTTTTACAGGAAAATAAATTAGGAATAAGGGCTAGTCTTCTTTATGCACTATGTTTTGCATATGAATATGATAGTCATATGAATAACTAAGCCTCAACAAGCATTTATACAAACATACGGTAGGTCATATATGTTTGACAAAAATGAGTTGGATGAGGCATAAATGCAGTCAAATTTTGCACATTCATTTCCCAAATATTAGATGAACTTTAATTAAAATACTGTCTTTGGAAATTTCAGTTTCAGAAGATGGAGATCTAAACCCTTTCTTCATGTGCATACAAAACAAATCCTTTGATATATTAATCTATGATACGTGTTTATGCTAAAGCTAATGATATATATTTAAGTATCTATTTTCAAGAATAGCAATATACAGAATGGATAGAATAAGAATAAAATCCTTTCCTGTACTTATGATTAATTGTGGACAATTCTTGTGATGCCTGAGTACTTATGACTTTAGGTTTGCAAAATGTGTTCAATGAAGAACATTTTTTAAATGCCTAAAAAGGCCAGAAGACTTGTGACTAAATACTGTAGAAATTAACATAAATAGATGGTATACAAATATAGGTGCACTGAAATATATGATTAAACTTGCTCCCTAATGTCACTCCAGCCACTGCAACAGATCATTTCCTTGGATTCATAACATATATCTAACTATATAACTTTGATCATATATACCTTTGATCATGTATCTTACTACATACCTTTGATCATATTGATTAATTATTGTCTCAATATTCCTGATCAAGAAACTAAGCAGGTATATTCAGTTTGGTCTCTCAGGTACTTCTTAAAGATTAACACTTATTTGACAAAAAATAACCAGATTGCAAAGTACACCTTTCTAATACCATTTCACTCACTCACTCACTCGCAGCCAGAGGGAAAACTAGGATTAAGAACAAGAGGAGGTTTGGGACTTTGGACACAGACTCTGCCCTTCAAAGACATTTTGGGTATAGCTACAGAGTAAGATAAACATAACTGGATAATCTATTAAACTTTCTTCTGAAAGTACAAGCAGACCCAGCAGAGATATATAATCAGATCCCAGAAACTAACGAAGAAATGAATTGGTGGTAAGAAAAGGCTGGTTTGTTGATGTTATCTACTTTTACAATGTATTGGGCATGTCATTTGTAAGTGCAAGTAAATTTGGGGGCATTTTGACTTATTGCATAGGCATTTTTACTGTTACTGTAATCTACCAAAACAAACAGCTTAATGCTTGATATATGCATTTCTTTTTTTTTGATTCAGCTTACAGAATTTTCTAATTTGTTTTCTACAGGAAATTATTTTTTTTACCTTAATTGAGAATTTTAGCTTTCATTTAAAAATAATTAGCCCTAATGTTTGCAGAGAAAACATGAAAACAAGAACTTAAAGCTAAAAATACTGTCTTAAAGCACTGTGTTCATAACAAATAATGTGATAATCTATGGCAACCAAGTTAACAATGATTTATTGGAAATATGTTTTCAATAGCATAGTCTGAATCTGGAAAAAAACCCCAAACAAAAAACACTTTTGGAGTGACATTCTATATATAGAGTGTGTAGCTGATTCTGGTTGTTAAACTGGGAATAATTTCTGCCTTGTAATTATGTTTTTTCCATTCCCCAAGTTACGTTAAGGCATTGGTGATGCGTTGGGGGTCCAAACCAGTGCATGTGCACCCCCTGAGATTGGCGGTACATCACCTGTGATTGGCTGGTGCCCCCGCAACGGCGCCTATGGGCAGGTGCCACTTGCTACCCTCCCCCAGCCACCAACACCACCAGCAGCTTCTGCAAGCAGTCGCCGATCACTGCTGACCACCACTGATGCTGCCAGCAGCATCTGTGGGTGGTCACTGACCGCTGATTGGTGCTCGCCAGCCCCTCTCCCCGCTGCCGACACTGCCACGGCAGCCTGCAGAAGCTCCCCGCTTGCTGCTGCCATGCCCCCGCTGCCAGTACTGCCACCTGTGGATGGTCGCTATGCTCCCCCCAGCCTCTGGGGGCATGCGTCATTCATGAGTTTAGGTAACTGGGAGCATCACCAGTGTTTCACACTTCAAACTTTTCCAGCAATGATGCTCAGTTTGAAATTTAAGACCTTATTACCATAAACTATCTTAACCATAAACCATCTTCAAACCATAAACCATCTTCAAAAAAGGGCGGAAAGAGGACCCAGGAAACTATAGGCCCATAAGTCTTACCTCGGTCCTGGGGAAGCTTTTCGAAAGAATTATCCTGGCACATGTCCAGGAAGGGCCAGCAGGGGAGGTTATGCTCATGGGCAACCAGCATGGGTTCATTAGGGGCAGGTCTTGTCAAACCAACTTGGTGG